CATGTAGTTCATGGGTGTTGGTGTGAATGTTGATTTCTCATACAAATATATATATATCTATGAGATTCCTTCATACTCAGCCGTGTACAAATTTCGTGGCTTGTAGTCCGTTAGCGAACTATACCGACCGAGTGACCGCCGCTTGTCGGCGAAGTTAGTGCCAGCTTTTGCGGATAGAGGGTGTCACGTGGTAGCGTAACGGATCCCCACGGCCGTTAATCTCGGTTTTCTAGACCGGACTCAGATGTGTACAATTGCACTAATTTTAATATAAAACACATCATGGGATTCCAATATAATAATTCATACGGGGCAATAATTTCGCTAGTTTTCTGTACGGATGTGAAACAGCTCATCAGTTACGAGTATAAGTGTTTATAAAAGTGCAGAGGACAATATTTTGTCCTAAGAACGATGAAGTAAATACGTAAGTGACTGAGGATAAACGTGATGAGGATTTCATGATTAATACGGGTCAATTTGTCCGGGGCATTGCACCTGACTGTATCAAGCGGAAGGCGAGTAATGCATCCGGATTTCTGATGAACAAACATCTCAGAAAACGTCCACTTTCAATAGCGGAAGGGAGATGAGGGACAGACATTAAGATGAATGCTTGGGAGATGAGGGGGGGGCACGCGGTAGCGTAGTTGGTTGAGGCACTATGCTACAAGCCGGAATGTGGCGGGATCGAACACCGGTCAGGTTGAATTTTTCAATTTTCACTATGGCTCTGGGGTCGACTCAGCCTCTAACCGAAATGAGTACCATGAATCTTCCTTGGGAGTACAGGACGGCCGGCGCGTAAGGTTTACCACCATCTATGAACCGATTGTCTAGAAAATGTGGGAGCCTCCACGTCTCGCAACCATATGGGCCTCCACAGCCTGTTACAGGGATAGCTTTTTTACCTTGGGAGATAGCTGTGAGGATCGGAGGTCTACGCAACTGGCTCAGAATCATGTCCAGTCGCAGGCATTCGTATTATTTCGGATGCTGGTACCACAGTATTAAAGAAAGTTAGTTAATTCAATGCGAGGTGTAGAGCCTAATTATATGCTCCCTCACAATGAGCAGAAGTCGCGTTGTAATGGTCCAGGATTTGGATTTCATCCTAGAGGCATAAAGACATGTCTTCTGAGGTTTTCGTGACTATCGCATACTTCCCTTTCGTACCAATGTAATCAGCTGAAGCCATATGCAAGTAACGTGTCCAGATGAGGAAATGTTACTAAATAAGTCAGCCTATCCGCATTATTACCTCTATGTAAATCCAAAAGCACAGAATAATACGAATAAGTTTACAACACTATCTTCGAAATTCGGAAATCTGAGTGCTTGTGTTATAGGCTAAGTGTGTTTGTTATTTCTGTGGTCTCATGTTTTTGCTCTGAAACGCCCGACGATAACCTAACGTTTCCTTCCATGTTGGCCGCAGATCTAGGCTTATTTATATACTATATTATTTTTTTTGAGTGAGCCAGAAGGAAAGGGGCCACTAGGAAGACTTAGACGTAGACGGGAGGATAATATTAGTGAATGTGAAACTATGATAAGTTACTAAGAAACTTAAGTTTCTTTATGGTTTATTGTAATTGTTTTCATATGAGACAACGCGAAAATGGTTATTTAAACCGACTGCAATTGTAAACATAACCTAACATAATTATTGTTTTAAAGCTATATCATGAAAGGTCTAGGAAACATATTTACTGATTAGTGAATTAAAATCTGATCATAATCTGCAGAGAGAGCTCCATCCTTCCAAGAATTTCCTGCATTTGGATTTGCGTGAATAAAATATCCAAGATGACTGAAATTGGCCCATTACGCTCATAAATAAAGGTAAATTTGTCCCTGTGCATAAATAATTAAGCACTACGCTGTGAGGGCGTATGGGGTACTGGATGTATAGATCCACATTTTCTTGATCTCGACATTAGTTGGAGGTGAGTGGTCAGCTTCACGCCCTTGCCACTTTATCCCAGGAAAAGAGCCCCAGGTACCCATTGGATAGGAGGCTGGGTGGGGCCCAGAGCCGGTCTGGAAGACGCGGAGAGGAGGAAATTCTTGATCATACCGAGACTCGAACTCCGACTCCTCCGTCATCCAGCGTACTACTACGCTATCCCGGCTCACATTAGACTATAAATACAGAAATAAACATGTAAGTAAGTAAATTAATTAAATCTTGAGATATCACATATAGATAAACGGAACAGATAAAACAAATTACAAGAAAAGAATAAAGTGTTCTATTAAAGGAGTCAGGCCAACTGCAATGCTGCTGACATGGGATTTTTTGGATTTCGCAAATAATACTAGAAGTCCCTGGTGTGGTATAATCATCCTCAGTATTCATGCCCCAACTGATAATGAAACTGATGACACGAAGGACAACTTCTATGGGGTATTAGAACGTGTACCCAATGAATTCTCTAAGTACCTCACGAAAAAGTTTAGGAGATTTGAATGCCAGAGCGGATAAAGAAAACATTTTCAGACTAACAACTGGGAAGAGAGCTTTCATGAAATTAGTAAAGATAATGGAATTAGTGTAGTATAATTGCCGCATGTTCCCACGTTGTAACGTTAATAAATTTACTTGGATATTTCCTGATGGAAAGACACAGATCGACCATATTTTAGTACGTAGAAATGGAGACGGAATTCAAGTGTTCTTGACGTCTGTTCTTTCAAGTGAGCGGACTGTGATACTGGTCACTGTCTGGTTGTTGCAGATATTAGGGAGAGACCAGAAGTAAGCAAACAAACACCGAAAAACGTGATCAAGAAACTAAACGAGGTATAGGGTAAAATCTCGAATAGTTTCGCAGTTTCGGAAAACTTAGATGATGATATGGATGTCAACAGAGCATGAGGAAACTTCAGGCTGCAAGATGAGGCACCGACTAAATAATTAACACTAATATTATTACATCTATATCACGAGCCTCCAAAACAGTTCATTATATATACACAAAATATAGAATACTCCAATTTGTCCATGGGAACACAACAAAATCACATAAACCAACGACTGACTCGATGATGTAAAGCATCACTTGAAGAATTTTATTCTTGTTTTATACTTTTGTCTTATATAGTCTAATTTATTGTATTTTTACGCCAAGTATTTTAATATAATTAATATTAGTGTATCCAATTTTACTAGTACTGCAGTTCAGTGGTGTATATATGTTAGCCATGTATTTGCCTGATGGTAGCTTTTAATAGCCGAAACATGTAGCAAAGCCAAACTTGGCACTGACTTTAATATAGTTGTGTTGTGACGGTCTTAATAAAGAAATTAATAATATTCTAGTTTATTATGCACTGCACTGGTATAAACCATGTTTTGACGAAGGATGTTCAGGACTATTAACCTACTAACTATTAAATCCTTAACTAGAGCTTCACATTTAATTCGTCGATAAAGCCAAATCAGTATTATGTCATTATGTATTTGCTCAAAATCTTATTTAATACTATCAGTAACAATAAATTCAAGTTTGGTAAGACTATGACTCTAAATATTCTGCAACTATTGGGATCTGTAGGCCTATATATTATTATTTTTCGTTCTGTAGCTCCAAGAAAATGGCAGTAATGCTCGTTTACAAATGAGTAAATTTTATTTCAACTACTCAAAAGTAATTTTATCAGCTTAGCATTTGTAGTTGGTGCTTTTCGTTTTTGTTTCTCTACTTCTTATTTTGTTTCATTAAAAACTCATTTATTTCTTCGAAAAGCTTGTATGGAAGGTCGTAAGAACGATAGGTCTACCTTGAATGGCATCTCACCAATAAGGAGGAGGAAATGAGCACAGTCGAAACCACTGAAATTATAAAGTGCTGATCATTTTGCTGACAGTCTATTATTTTATTCCTTCTTCATATGTTGAATGTTTTATTGCCCAATTTGAATTCTCTGTCAGGCATTGGCCATGATGAAATTCTGTGAAATTTTTGTCTTTTGTTCTGGACGGACGAAAGAAAGATATTTTAAACAAGGCACAATAGGTTCATTTCGTTATTTGTTATCCGTTACAATCTTATTGTCTCTCAATAGGCGGTATAAAACCATTGTAGCTAAATAACTTACAATCGCACCACGATGATGTGAAAGGTGAGATGATGATGAGCAGAAGACTGAGCCCAAGAAAAGACCTCGGCCGAAGAGATAAATGGGTAAACATATTTGCTTCCATTTCTCATTCTTTAAATTGTAACAAAGGCCCGCAATTCATTCCTCAGCCTCATATCCAGTGTGCATTTGGAAGCTCTTTCGCTTGCGGGAAGCTAACTGCATATTTCACCTAATGTGGAAACCTATTTCCACACCTCTTATAAGATCCTTTGTGTGGTGCTTAAACACGACATACAATTTTACACTTACTTTGTCAAACTTATGGCAACGACAAAAAAAAAGTATATATGATAAAATTTTAAAAAGGAAAATGTAAAAATAAAATTGGTACTTTGTAGATATTCCTAGTGTTAAACCAAGACAAAACGGGTATAAGTGTTATTGTTATATTATAGAATCGTAACATGTTTTCCAGCTCCAAATCAGTTAGGATTCTACGAGTACATCCCATGACGGAATTAAATACTGCTCACATCTTCCTTATTTTTGGTATGTGAATAAAAAATCAACAGGTTAGGTATTATTAGTAAATGGTTAAACATTATTTCGAAAAGAACGAATATAAAATTACATATATTCTCCCCACTTCTTTTGTTGCCGGCACCACCCTTTGTTGGACAAAAACGGTTTATATCAGGTGCCAGTGCTGCCTCACAATTATCATCATCATCCCATCTGGCCATTATGAGCTGAATGTTTCTAATGGCTATAAACAGAATAATTTCCGCAAGCCGTCGTACGGCTCTTGATTGCGCCATATATCTGCCTTCCTGAGCTCATTATTTGCACATCGAAGAATTAGTGTTGGAAATAAGCGAGACTAAACTGATAGATGGCAGCACTGATCAATATAGATAAGCAGCAGCCGCGTGAGACGGTGTGATGTAGGGAATCAGCTGTTGTATGTTTGTTGATATATTCGGACCGATTTGGACAATTCGCCCAAAAGATTTTGAGGTTCATGGTTGGTCACAGGTAGAAAGCGAAATTGCTATGTGTCGAGGTCATGTATATACTATAATGCATGTGAGCTGAATGTTGAGTGACATGTAAACCGAGTAATACGATGTCGAATGTTTCGTGTATATCAAATATTGTAAGGTTAAACCGTTTGGCTGAGCCGTATTTTTTAAATGTTCGGCAGTACAGATTAGTAACGTCAAATTACGCAGCCTTTTGGAAGTCAAGGAAAGTCGGAACCTCATACTGCCATGTGCAAAATTTTGAAGGATGTTGGGAAAAGTACATGATTTTTGGTGAATCCTACAGTGCTTCAAAAAATGTAATGGTGCGTGATATGACAGTTATAGAAGATTTCTTGAATGAAGATGAAGAACGATCATTGCACGAAGAAGTGGAACCTTATATGCGAAGATTGAGATACGAGTTTGATCATTGGGATGATGTAAGCTAACCCATGATATGAAGTTTGAACTCAGTGTTGAAAACTACCGTACGCTGCCGTGTTTAATCACGCTGTGGGGCCGTGGATGCCATCAAAACCTCTTGAAATGTTTCGGTTGATGTAACAGAAAAAAGTGCTTTTGTTACACCTCTGCGACAGGTTAGCTCAGTCAGTAATGTGCTTGATATAGGGATGGACAGTTCAATTTCCAGAAAGGAAAGGAATATTTCCTTCAACAGTGTCCAGACTGGCCCTGGGGCTCATCGTGCCCCCATTCCATTGGTACCAGGGACTCTTTCCTTAGCAAGAAAGTGGGCTGAGCTTGGAGCTTACCACTCCCATCCATTTTCTGAGGTTAAGCATAGCTTCCACTCTCTAATACTTCTTTATGGTTTGATGTATAAAGGCAGTGGTAACTTTTATGGTGATAAATTACATCACTTTGTTTGCACATAGTTTTGGTGTAGGTAAATTATTCACTAGGAGATGTCTAGTTCCAGTTAAAACAAATATTTTTGTTGTGTACTTTTGTATTTGTTCAGCAGATATGAATTTGACTGCAGTTTAGGTGAATATAGCACAGCAAACATCTAAAAACTGAGGTGCATCTTCTTCAGCAAGCAACCATTGTGGTTTCTTCTGCCAGTCTTCTTGAAAATTTACGTTTTATTATGCCCACGAGACTCAGCACAAATGTAACTTAAAATAGATCAACCCAAACTAGCTGAACCAAACCTGACCTGCCCGGTCGTGCAATTTGGAATTGTTTGAGAAATTCTTTTAGCTTTAACTTTATTCATTCAGGTCCATCACACTAGTCAGTACTGTAGAATGATTTGACCACAACATCCAGTGTGACTAAAAAAAAAAAAATATATATATATGAT